GGACCTCTTGCTTAGCGCGTGGCGGCGGCGGCCCCAGCGACACGCTACGTCCTTGGAGCGGATAGGGTGTCGCTCCGCTCCACGGGGCGGGATGCTGGAAAAGCTCGGGATGTTGACGCCTGGGGTGCGGGGCTGAGATTTATCCATGTCCACCGCCTGGGAACCGACATCCTGGTGCCCCAGCGGGCGGTGGATATGGATACATTTTGGCCTCCGGGGGCCCGAATATGTCCATATCCACCGCCTGCGAAGGTCCGAGAAGATCGATCCCCCAGGCGGTGGTTGTGGATAAATCCCCGCCTCGGATGGGGGGCCAGGGCGTGCATAGCGCGTCGCGCCGAAGCGTGGTGGGCCAGACCCTGCGACGCGACACGCTTTATTACGCTGACCAGCAGCTCCTGACCGCCGGACAGGTGCGTGCGGCCTGGCCCCAGGAGTGTCCCCGAGAGGAGCGCCCCACCGCCCCGTGCCTGCAGGAGCAGCACGGCGAAGCTCTCCGCACTCGGGAAGGCGATGGCCGGGTTCCACTCCGTCGCCTCCAGGGTCCAGCGGGCGACCTCCGCACGGGGGCTCCCCCGCGGGAGCGGCCACCACCAGGCGGAGGGAGTCGCGAGCTGGAGCTGCAGCAGGCGGTGCTCACCGCTCGAGCTGACCCTGGACAGGGGGGCGGGTGTGGACGAGAAGAACGGGGAGGACGAAATGGCCCACCCAACTGCTGCGGCTGCTCCTCCCTCCCGCCTCCTCGCGTCCATCTTCCCTTCTGCCCCTCCCTTTCTCCTCCCCCGATCCCTCCCTCCATCCCTCTGCAAGCCCTGTCTCGACATTGTGACTGGCGCACCAAGCCGCTACGCACACTGGACCAAGACAACTGCGCAAACGTGTGATTTCCCACATCCTAGGTATGGGGTGGTTGCCCTTACTGAGCGTTTGCGAGAACTGGTGCGAAGAACAAATGCGCTGAACGGGCACGCAGGTCACCCAACCTTGCCATCTCGGCCCCTCCGGGGCTGGGCGGGGACGCTCGCCGAGCTAACCCGCCACCACGCGATGCACTGCTGTTTCGCGACCACAACGGTTGATTGACCGCGTCTGCGGCACTGAGACGGACCTACCCCTCAGAGGCTTACAATCCCACTTCACGTGACATGTTGTCCGAGCGCATATGAGCACGCGCGAAACAGGCGAGCGGCTTGGAAGCATGTAATAAAGAAAGCCGGTGCGCCCACTGGCATATTTCAGAACCAGCTGGCAGATACGGCGGTGAAGGCATTGGATAAGGAACCACTGGAGAAGGAATCCAGGGTCTGGAAGCCCGCGGAACTCCAATCGAGGCTTGGCCATGGGTATCACCACGTGCCCCATGCGGAGTCGGAGTCGGAGCCGGAGAGATAGGAAGGGACCACGAGTCGGAAAGAAAAATAAGAGCCAGAGTGGGGACCGCAGAGGGAGAGGGGAGAAAGGACCAAAGAGAAAGACGTGCCAGTAATCGCTCGAATATGTGAGCCCGCAGAGCGGCTGCAGAATGGCCAGGACCCCCCCGGGGGCTCGACGTCTGCTGTTGGGGGCGGCCAAGAGGGGGGCGTCCAAGAGGCGGGGCGCAGATCACTGCCAGCGGCACGTGCGCGGCCCAGGGGGGGGGCCAGGGACGCATTGACATAAGAAGAGGCGCCATGACACCGGGGGAGATATCATGGCCCCCGCCATGATGTCCACTCCCCCTAGTCCCAGACCCCGACATCGTGATTTTTTCACAGCGCCGACACCCACAGGTCTTCACCCCTTCCCGTCCCGAGTCGTTTCTTGACGGCCCCGAGGGCCCAGGAAGGGCCCTGGGAGGCCGAACACTTCTTGACGGCCCCGAGGGCCCAGGAAGGGCCCTGGGAGGCCGAACACCGCGAAAAGCCTCCCGTCGTGATTTTTTCACAGCGCGAGGGGGCCTGGGGTCATACCACCCTCTTGGCCCCCGCCATGGGGAGATATCATGGCCCCCACCATGGGGAGGAGGAGGAGGAGGGAGAGGAGGAGGAGGAGGAGAAGGAGGAGGCGAGGAGGAGGAGGAGGAGGAAGAGGAGGAGGAGGAGAAGGAGGAGGAGGAGGAGGAGGAAGAGGGAGGAGGCGGAGGAGGAGGACAAAGTGGAGGAGGCCGAGGAGGCCCCCCCCCCTAGTGCTCACCCCCCTCCTTAGAAGAAGAAACAACAACATAAACATAAACTTCTGGCGCTCCGCGGGGATTAATTCGATTCGCGCCTGGACCCCCCTCCCTGGCGCGCGGAGCGCGCCAGGGGCGGCGCCGGAGGCGCCGCCGGGGGGGCCCAGGCGCGGATCCAAGAAATCCGCGCGGAGCGCCAACAGTTTATGTTTACGTGGCTGTTTCTCGTCGGCGGCGCCCCCGGGGCCTGCCCATCCCCGCAAGAGGCCGGCCCGCCCCCGCCGGGGAGGCCTCGGCCGCCTCCTCGGGGCCGAGCGGCCGCCCGCTGCCCTTCGCCGCGCTGCGCGCCGCCTGCGCGCGCCCGATCGTCGATCGCCGGGTGACGATCACGATGGCGATCACGATGATCACGATCATGATCACGATCACGATCATGATCACGATGATGACGATCACGGCCCGCGCGCCTGAGCGCGTGGACGCCGATCGTCGGCCCCTCAGGCACGGCCGAACCGAAACAGTGCTTTCCGTGCTCGTCGTGCTCGTCGTTCTGCCTCGCCCTGCCTTCGCCTCGCCCTTGAATGCGACACGCACAGAGGGACAAGCAAAACATCACACCGTTACCACAAGAAAGAACTGCATATCAGGAAAACATCGGCGGCGAGAAAAAATTTAATAATCACTCACTGTCATAAGCGAAAAAACGGCCCACGAGATGGCCAGAACACCGTTCTTAGGCCCAGCCCTGCCCCGAGAGGGGGCTCGGAGAAGACGGGGTCGGAGGCTCGCGGCCCCTCGCCGATGCCTCGGCGGTGCGTCGGCGCCCTCGGCGCCCGCGGCGCGGGGAAAAACGGGGCCCCACACCGAGCCGCAGCCGATGCACCCGGCGATGCGGCGCGGTGCTCCGACGCCGCCTGCCCCGGCCCCATCCTGGGAGGCCTAGACTGAAGGGGCCCCAGGGCACACAAATAGATACACACACATAACAATACCCTCCATATTTTCCCATATCTTTTGGATTTTCGTCTTCCCCCCCCCTTCCCATATCTTCCCATGTTTTCCTAAAAATCGACGAATGATTGTGTCTGTGTGTTTTTTCCCCTCCTGATAGACACAAACACTTGCGGGCGTTCACTCGAGGCACAGTGCACGCTGTTTGCTGAGCGCTCTGCGCTCGCGAGCGTACCCCGGAGAGTGGCCACCGTGCTGTGCTCGGTGGTGGCTGCGGCGATCGAATCAGGGTGGCGCTTCTGTCCCCGATCGAAGGCCCAGGCATCCGAACGACGAGCCTTCTCAGTCCTGGTGCCGCTGCCCCTGTTTCGGCCTCCAAAGGGGCCGTGTCATGGGCCCCGCAACGGGGGGTTGCAGTCGGACCCAGGCCAGAAGAACATCCTTCAAGAACGTGAGACCCTGCGCCAGCCAAAACACACAGGACCTTCGAGGGTACAATCCTCAGGATGCACAAGAAGACTCAACAAAAACACGAAGAACACTGAGGCACCCTCCCCGAACCGACCTCGACCTTACCTCGGTCCGACTGCACGGGCCCTGCAAGGGGGGGGGTATACAAATAGGCCCCGGGACGGAAAGACTGCCCTGCTGGTGTAAGACCAGTCGGGAGTCTGGAGCTGCCGACTAAAGAAAGCACGTCGTTGGACCTTTTCCTCCGGCGCTGAAATATGCTGAAATTCTTGCCATCGCTCGGACGTCCATTCCCCGTGCATTTTTCGGTTTCGTGTGTTCAATGTTTCGCAAGATGGCCCAAAATGCTCCTCGAGGGCCCTCGCCGGGAAAAATATTCACGTCCGAGCGATGCCAAGAATTTGTTCGTGACGTCGGCTACTGGAGCTCCGACCACTTCCCCTGGGCCAGACATCCTGAGACGTTTTTTGACGGACCCTGGGGCTGGGGAGCGCTGTCCCAAGGCCGAACGCAGAGCCCAACCCCTGCCCCGTCAGGACAAGGGGGGGGAGTTGATGAATCGAGCCGCGCGCCAGTCGAATGTCACACGGGTGAAGGCAGCCCAGCGGTTGAAGAAGATGTCAGGCCTCCTTTGCAAGGAGCGCACGAGCAGCGCTCTCGGCTTGAAGGACGGCGCGCGTGCCACCGATGCTCGCCATCCCCCTCCCGATCGGCGATGCATCGGCGGCGTCGGCGATGCATCGGCGACGCCCGCGTGAAGCAAATCGGGCTCCACACCGAGCCGCCTCGGCGATGCATCGGCGATGCGGCGCGACGACCCTCCGACCCCCTCTACTCCGACCACACCTAGACGTAGGGCGGGCGTGTCCCCCTACACGCGGATTTTGGAAGACAATTTTTGGTCTGCGGGTCGGGAGCGGGCCCCTTCCGGTCAAGAGCTAAACGGGACGCGGGTAGCCCGAACTGGGGAGACAGGGCGCGGGCGGGCGGGGCCTCAGGCGGCCGGAGGGCTCCGAAAACAGGCGGCGCCGAAGATCTTGCGCACGGACTTTGGAAGACAGGCATACGAAGAAGTCAGCACGCAGTCCGACGGAGCCGACCCCTCTCGCCGCTGGCAACCGGGGGGGGGGGGGGCGAGGGAGGCCGGGCCGGCAGGCGGCGACGGCCGACCGGCATGCAGAGCGGGCATGGAGCGCGCGGCGGGCACACGGAGCCTCTGCGAGGGCACGGAGAGCTGCGCCGGTGATGCTCCGGCAGGGCGCGCGCGCCCCTCTTAAGAAGACGAGCCGGGAGGCCCCCCGGACTCGCGCGGTGACCACGCCCCGGTGGCGGCTCGGGGTCACCGCACGGCCCCGAGACTCGGGTCGTCCTCCGAGGACGACGTCGGGCGGCCGGGGCCTCCGAGGTCCCCACCCCGGGCGGCGAGGGGCCGCGCGGCGAGGTCTCTCGCTCCGGGCTCCGCAGTCGCCGCGCGGTCCGTCGCCGCACCACGGCCCCGGGGTCCCCGAGCGGTGCGTCTCGCGCCCCTGCGGGGGCACCTGGCGGTCTTGCCGTCGCTCGGACGCCCATTTCCCGCTCATTTTTCGGTTTCGTGCGTGTTTGTTTTTTGCTCGATTGTCCAGGATCGTCCTCAATGGTTCTCGCCGAGAAAAAAGCACACGTCCGAGCGATGCCAGGCGGTGCGGCGGCACTCCTTGAAGGCTGCCAGAGCTCAGACGCCCCCTTCGGCGCGCCTCCAGGAACGCGCAGGCGGGGGGCCCCAAAAGAGGGCCCAAGAGGCGCCCGAGACGGCCCAAGAGAGCCCCGAGACCGCCCCAAAAGGGGGCTGAGAGAGGGAGCTCGAGCCGAAAATCCTAGCCCTTCGTCCCCCCCAGACGCCCCCAAGAGGCCCCCAAGAGGCCCCCAAAGGCCCCAGGCCATCGCCGTCGGGATGGGACGGAGCGCGCGGACGGCCCAGCGAGAAGAAACGCGCTTCAGATAGGACCTTGCGGAAGAAGACCCCACGCAGCTTTACGCAGCCGCGATTGGGAGGCGAAGGCTTCGGGATAGGGACAGGGGTCGGAGTTCTGGGCTAGAGATATAGGATGCAGCGATTGGGATGGGAATGGGATACGAGATAGGGGCAGAACGGGTCTGGGGATAGGGATAGAGGCGCAAGGATAGGGACCGACAGTGGGAGTCAACGGGGAGCAATGGGAGACAATGGACATAGGGATAGGCATAGGGATCGACAACAGGAGACACTGAGATACAATGGGAGACGATGGCAACCAACGGGAGACAAGAGGGACACGGATAGAGATAGGGATGCGGATAGACAGTGGGAGACAACGGGAGAGCATGGGAGACAATGGGCTACCATGAGAGACAATAGGGTGCAATATCTATTCAGGACCCTTTCAGACAAGCCCGTCTGGGAACATCTGGCACGGGTGCTCGGGGTGCTTCGGGGAGGGGGAGGGGGAGGGGGAGGGGAGGGGGAGGAGGAGGGGGAAGGGAGGAGGAGGCGGAGGAGGAGGAGGAGGAGGAGGAGGAGGAGGAGGAGGAGGAGGAGGAGGAGGAGGAGGAGGGGTGCTTCGGGATCCAGATGGGGGGTCCGGCGGCACAGGGCTCGGGGGAGGACGGGAGACCGAGGAGCGGCACACCCGCCACCACGGGGAGAGGCCCGCGGCGGCCAGGCAGCCAACCAGGTGCGCCCCTGGGGGTGGGAGCGTCTTGTGCACCTTTGAGTGGACCAACGCCCAAGGAGATCAGCGACGGCGCGCACCTTGAAACTGACATCGAGGAGTGCGCATGCGCGAGTGGTCTGGGAGAAGCTCCGCGTATCGTCAGGCTGGCAGCCGGCTGCCCCCCAAACAAGCAGTTCGAGACAGTACGAATGGCTGTCATGAATTTATGGTTCTGCATGTCTTTTTACCAACCCTCCTTGGTTGGGTATCCGTGTTGAATAGAGCACTGCGGTCGCGTCCTGCTCTTCCCGCCTCCCGCCTCCTGCCACCCGCCTCCTGTCTCCCGCGAAACCTCGCCGTCCCTTGGGGGGGGGGGCTGCGATCTGTGACACTGTCGCCGCTTTCGAGGGCTGCTGGTGGGTCCAGCGGAGTGAGGCACAGCGCAGACCTGAGCGAGACCTCGCCGTCCCTCGGGGGCTGTGATCTGCGACACTGTCGCCACTTTCGAGGGCTGCTGGTGGGTCCAGCGGGGTGAGGCACCGCGCAGACCTGAGCGAGACCTCGCCGTCCCTCGGGGCTGCGATCTGCGACACTGTCGCCACTTTCGAAGGCTGCTGGTGGGTCCAGCGGAGTGAGGCACCGCGCAGACCTGAGCGGGACCTCGCCGTCCCTGGGGGGCTGTGATCTGCGACATTGTCGCCACTTTCGAAGGCTGCTGGTGGGTCCAGCGGAGTGAGGCACCGCGCAGACCTGAGCGGGACCTCGCCGTCCCTCGGGGGCTGCGATCAGCGACACTGCGACACCTACAGGCACAGAAGGACAGGGCGGGGGAGATGAATCTGCAGAAAGGGGGCAGAAGGGTGACGATGCATCGGGGAGGGTGATGACGAGGCCGAGGGGGAAGAAGAGACACACTATTGGATTCAACCGAGCCTCGAAAATATTAGGGAAACGGATAAGGGGGTGTAGGAGGAGGAGGAGGTGAGGGAGGAGAGTGGGGTTAGGTCGGGCCTGTCCCCCTACTGGGGGATTCTGGACGAAAATAGAAAGTACCCGAAACATATTCCCAAATGGTCAAACATATTCAAACAATCGTCCCCAGACTATTTGCTTAACACTTTTTGAAGATTCACCCTGTCGAGGGACAGGCCCGACTTAAGAATGGGGAGGAGGTGGGGGACGAGGAGGATCCTGGAAGTTCAACGGACCCAGGAGAATTGCTGGACGAAGAGAAAAAGGAAGGAGCAGGCTGGCGAGAAA